TTACCTAAAATACCATTTAATACATTTATCCATTCCCAAGTTAAATTCTAATGTACATATTATTCTTTCCATTTATTCAGTTTGTACCTTCGGTACCTGAAGTATTTCGGGGTTTCCCACCTAATGAAATCTCTATGATTCACAGTCATGTAAGGAATGTAAACTATATGTATGATACATTAGATTATAAAATTCCTTGCATAGAACCTATTGTGGACATAAGACAAAATTTTTTACCATATACTGACCAACAAAAAGATTTGATGAAGCATCAATCAAATTTAAAACTTAAATGGATCCATACACCACAGCTACTATACAAGAAGGATGCTTATCAAATTACTACAACCAGTTATCAAGAAGATGTTTATAACTCAATAGATGATAAGCGTTTTCAGTTGCCTATTGATAAATCCAATGATTATAATCAATGGAACGTAGCTAAAGTATCACATACCTTACATCAGGTGTGTAAGCACTTATTGTATTTTTACTAATGAAAAGAGTTCATCTTTGAGTAACATTGATATTCATTAGTCGCGCTGATTTAATTATATTTAAATTTGTATATGAAACATTTTATTACAGACACAAAATGATTTAAGAAAGAAAAGCAATGCAAGCAGAGTATTATATACACAACATAAAGCAGAAATTTTAAACTTAGCTGTACCAAGTAGTAGTTCGTCGTTTTTAAACTCTGAAATTAACTGTTGTCAATTTTTATGTAATGATGACCAAAATTTTAAGAGCTGCGATAGCAATATAAATGAAAACAGAATTTCAAATACATACAAACCTTTCGGATCAAAATTGAAAACCAATCAACAAGCAATTTTAGAAGATATATACAAAATGGATGTTGTACGCTGGAATGAAGAAATAGACACAACAGTACATAAAATAAAACAATACATTTATAATATCACTCCATACTTTATAATAATTTGTATCTAATCATGAATACATTGCAGGTGTCAATGGAGAATAGTTTTATTTTAAATGATCTTATTATTAATAAAAAGCTTGAAACAAGCTTAGAAAAATTTTTAAAACGTGCGGAACAAGAAACTGGTGAGAAAAAAGACAAAATTAATTTTTATTATGTATATAGA